TCAAATAACCGCTATATGCTGCAAGTAATATTGACTGTCTGTCTGTGGCTGGTTTACGTCGTTTTAGTACGGATAAATATTAAAACTAACAAAACTTCACCGATGTAAGGACATCATTTGAAAACGTAAATAAAGTATTTAAGTATTTAATGTAGGAATTAATATGTCACGTGGGTGTAATCTGTGCCTGATCGTAAGTCGCTGACAGCAGAAAGATACAGGGAGTTGTGAAGTGTTATGTCCTCAGAACCTCACGATTGTAATCTGCAGTACCAAAAATTATGTTCAGAAGCGAATCGAATTTGGGAGATAAATGAATCACCTGATTTAATCAGTAACTGTACATTTTGTATTTATGTGTTTCGTAAAGATTCTCACTGTAAACAGCGATTATTTTCTTAATCAGCGTTAACCAGTTGATCTGTGTAATGGTGAAATGTCGTGTTTTCTTTGCGGTACGGACTGAATTCTTAAATATTATTTACATAGCTTCGGCTTCGAATGGTTAATTTATGGTGAATGTAAAGTCTTACTCAGTAACTTCAATAATTCCAAGGTTATCAGAAGTCGCGAGTTCTTACCACAATATTTTACGTATATTTCTTGAAGTGGCAATGAACAGAAAAAATGTATTCCCGATGTTACGATGTTCAGGTTCCATCTTCTGGCACGTGATCTCTGTTTATTCAAAAGAAAGTTGTCAGTCAGATAGCAGGCAGAGAAAGTGTTCTTTGTGAAGAATAAAGTAGACAGGTCGCTTCAAATGCGGCTTACGTCGAATTATGTTTCTTTTCTAATACTTCAGCCAACACGATTAAGGAAAAAAGGAAGTATGTTTCAGAAAAGGAAAAAAAAAAAAACAGGCCAACTGTTTACATTCGCCATATTTTTTTCAGTGCTGCCAACATCTCTTTTTAGTTATGCTATAAATCTCTTTGGGTTACTTTTTATTATTCGTACTTCACATAAAAGGATTTGCATTTATAAATATAATGGCGTCACGTGCTTAAAGCAAGGGAGCACAGGTACGGAGTAAGTATTTCGCTGAAACCAATTTATTAGGTTCTGGAAAGATGGTTCAAAGCTGAAATCTCTACTAATATCTCTAAACGTTTCTGACATGAAAGCGATGTTTGAACAATACCGAGAACTCTCATTCCAGGCATGCTTAATGCCTTAAGCGGATTTCGAATTTGAATGAGGAAACCTTCGTAATCTACTCTTGAGGAAATAGAATGAAAAAGGGACTGACCATGTTCTATTAGGAGTAATGTCATCATTGTACGTCGCCTGTCGAAGAAATCACGCCTCGGTGTGTTAACACACGGCAAAGGAAACCTAACAGGATAAAAATTACCACAATGCAAATTATAAAGCCTCTCAAATTAACTTAAAGCAGGAAAGTAAGCTTCTGAACATAATAAAGAAGTTTAAATTTACGAGTCTACATATTATCACGACCCAGAACAACTACAACAGTGGGAAACTCACAAAACCAGCCCTGAAGAAGGGCACGTTATATTTCTCCGAAACGCTAGCGTCCAACGGCAAGGCGTCATCAAACGTCACATTTATAAATTTATCTCGAAGTAAAATATCACCTTCCAATACACTACAAACCAAAGGATAAAATGAGATTTTCGTGCACATAACATGTACCATAGATACAGTGAACCCAAAAATATTTATGTGAGGCTTGAGTTTTCACGAAGGTTTAGGACGTCGATGTTGTCCTCCAGATTCTGAGGCCTCAAGACTCGAAGGCAGATGCCAACGTATCGGAAATGGTCAGAAAACTATCCACTACCAAATTTAGTCCTGAAGACAGAGGCACATTTTCCCTCCGAAACGCCTGCATATACCTACCAATCGACGCAGCGTAACAACAACCCAGAAGACCGAAATGGACAGGCATCTCAGTTTTTGAAATGAAGGAAGACCACGCAGGAAGACGGCAGGCAACAGCGAAACCCACATCTTTGGTTGCCAAGAGCTCTGTTATTGCTGCAGAGTTGAAATTCGTGTTGCTAGGAAGAACCGCGTATATTGTCTCTCCGCCCAAAGTCATAAAGATTAAAGTGACGGCTCCGTGTTATAACTCTCTCTCGCCAGCCCCGGTCAGTCCGTCTTCGGACCAATAACCCACGAGTTAATAAGTTAATAGAGAACAATAAACCGGCTCATGTGTTGGTTAAGAGGCTTTTGCCCTCCAGCAGGGGTGCCATCCCCCTCTGCACAGAAAGTAAGGAGGTATTCCGAACGGAGGAAAAATACGACCGACTGCAGGAACTTGGAATGTCGCTCGGGTAAACGCCACATGAAGCATTCTAAAGCAGTGGTATTCAACCTTTTTCGTTCGCGTACCCCCAGATATAATTTATCTTTAACTTTGTACCCCCAAAGTTGTTGGTGTATAATTCAAGTTATACGTAGTATATAATCTACATCTAAAATAAATTAAATAAATTACATCACTGATTATTCAGTGTTTATCATAA